ACAACTGAAAACTGTGATTTATGGGCAAGGAAGGAATGTATTATATGCTCCTTTCAATGTGTCGGTTGTCCCTTTTCTTCTGCACACCAGAAGTGTAGGTCTTACAGAAACTCACATTGCAGTCTGATCGATATAAGAGCTAAAGATGAAGATATCAAATATCTGCAATGTTATTGTTTTGTCTTCTATCCGTTGACTTTTTGGAGATAATAGATGGGATAATTATTTTGAGGCAATCAAATTGGATGATTAAAAACAATGCTTGGGAGAACAATAATTAAGTTGATTCTGTGCGTTTACGATTACTAATAACTGTAATGCGCAATGAATATATGGAGATATAACTGGTAATGAATATAGCAGAGATAGGAACATTGTTCCTCTAATCTTTACCAAGAAGATTTTTATCTTCTGATAAAAGTACTTCATTTATGCGTCATCCGAACAATATTGAATACATTTGATGATTAAGAATGACGCAACACAATTTAGTAGCATAACTTAATTTCACTGCTATTTAAAATTGAAGTACTGTTGCTATTCGATTACTTATCGGATTGAATATCACTGATAAAACGAATGCATAACTTTTCAATTTTTGACATATTTATACTTGAACAACACGATATATAAGTAATTAATAAATATGCATGTTAACACACAATTTCCACGCGGCCACTGATTATCTCAGGTATATGATAATCTAAACAATATAGGGAAAATGAAATGTTCACTCATGATCCTTCAAATAAGATGAATGGGAGAAATTCTTTTTGCAGACATTGCAGTGGTATGGCTTTTTTCTAGTGTGCCTTGAAATTATGTTTCTGAGAGAAATTCTTTTTGCACACATCATAGTGCCTCTGTTTGCACACATATGCAGCATATGAACTAATTTGCATGCGTGACCTTTGTGTACATGTCCTCTTTAAATAGGGTGCAGTAATTGTTGAGTGTGCTTGTTCTCAGCTTTCTACTGCATCAAAGTTGCAGCCCTGTGGTGGTTATGGGGTTGGTATTTACAAGAACTTTGTGAAACTAGAGAAGGAAAAGCTCACTCTTCTGTTCAACATTATGAACTCTACATTCCAGGCTTCGTAGCAGGTTTCTCTAAGCATGCAGTTGGATTGTGAATACCTGTATGTTTCGTAACTGTCTGATATCGTAGTATATACATAGCGTTTGAAGCCTTTTGACTTCAGCTTGAGCACTTTCATGTAATATTTATTGAACTTATAGCATACTCGTTCATTGCTTTGACAAAGTTCTTGTCGTTCAGTGCAGTTTTGGCTAGTCGCCCAACTCTCGTCAGAATCTCTGCTCGCACTTTATCGTAGCTTTTTCGGGTCGGAGCAATAGTCTTGTCTTTCGTTATCCCAAGGTTTTTATACCCTTGAGCTTTTTATAATAGCTCCGTTTTATCAGTGCATACCTCGGTGTTAGTGGCTGACTTTTCTTGATTAACTTTTAGTCGTACTACATCTAGGAACCTTTCAACTTTTTTCGTGATATTACTCACAAACTTGCTGACTCAAGCCGGCATGTTGAGCCAAGGTTGATAAATTATTACAATAAGGTGCCCAAACTGGAACCAGAAGACTTTCCAGCAATAGACATTATATCAGGCAGCTGCTGAATTTGGAGCAGAGAAGGTACCATTACTGCAAGGAACGTGTCAAAGCGATGGACCATCTAACAACGTAATGCAAGAAAAACAGCATCATAACTGGAGCAGAAGTCATAATATGTGGTGCTTCGGTACATTAATTTGAAACTCCATAAAAAATATATTCTGAAAACATTTGCACTCATATAAAGGCTACCGTATTCAGATGATAGCACGGAAAAGAAAAGTGATTATAGTCGATACACGAATTAAAACAACTGAAGACAAGTGCGGATCGACTAGACATCCTAGTGCTTGACAAGAGGCGACACGAAATAATTCTGATAGAGGTTGGCATCGCTAGTCAAGACAGGTTGATAACAGTTGAGGCCGAAAGAAACCTATTTCATGAAGAGAAGTCTGGTAGTAATGAAGATTCTTGAACGTTAGACGAAGGAGGTCAGCATATTTGATTACCTCGAAGATATTCGACAGTGGCCATTAAGGACGCTGGAAAGCATTTCATTCGATCATCGCCACAAGAACAAACAATGAAGATCAGCATCGCAGAACTGGCACGGGGCCAGTGCAGCGGAAGGGCCATAATACGATTTAACACTAGGACCAATGATGCAGAGAAGATTAATCTACGGATATGTTGATTATATACATAAGTATAATCGAGTCAAATTGATTTGACTATCACGCAGAGGTTATTCTTCTTCATTATTTATTCTGGCGCGGGGTCTTATTCTAGCGATCTTACTGCACTCGCTGGCGCTTAGTTTGCTGTCCTGATCTTCGCTGATTCTTCCTCGTCGGATCCACGGTGCTGAGACGCTTTCAAACATCTTCCTGAGCACTATTGATAGAATATACGCCTTGACATGATCAGATATATTTTCATTTTAGATTATTTAAACCACGCGAGGTTGTACTATGTGTATGTGTGCGTCTTTATATGTTTGTGTGATTGCATTTGTATACAGTTAGCTTGTGTATATGTATATGTGTTTCATGTACGTGTATATTCCTACACACGCATGTCTGTCTGTCTGTCTATATGTGGTCGTGTATAGTTTGCATTAATATATGTACTCGTAGATGTGCATTTGTAGTGTATTTTATGTGCGATTGGTCATCAAGTGGGTTTGTCTGCATGCGCTCTGTTCTTAAGGGTTGTGTGCGTAAATTTATTAGTATGCGATTTTTTGATTGGTCAGCAGATTTGCTAGTAATGTGTTGATGTGAGAAATTTCACAAAATTTGAGTAAAATATAAATGGAACTTAATTTTAATACCTGATGTTGCTGGTTCAGATATATTCTGTGCAGTATATTATGAGCAGCATTTGGTATTTGTTGATGAGCATTTGCAAATGTAGCAGAGAATTTCTCAGAGATTAAGCGATAGGAAACAGAAGTCTGATTAGAACAAATTTCTAAAGATAAGAAAAAACGGATTCTAAAAATGAATCTAGAGAAGAGAAGTAAGATCATAAACACAAATATAACTTCAATAATGAATAATATCAGTATAAAATGCAAAATACTTCTGTTTAGAGGGGACTGTGCTTTTTTTATTTAAACTTTAAAAATATGGGTACAAATCCACATCTACCATAATTACTTGATAGATTGAAGTATTAAACTAGCGTCTTAAGCTATCTGAGTAACTGAATAAGAAGTAACTAGAAACTAATTTTAGCCAAATTAAGCGTGATAATGATGTAAGGTTTAAAGTGATGATGTCATTGTCAATATTTATAATTCAGAAATGAAGCGTGTATCATTTATTTTCTCATTTACATTAGCAGAATGAAACTTCTAATGGTAACAAAAAGTTAGTCGAAGCAGCAATATGGTACGCAATTTTTTAATTATTGTCAGGATTGTAATTGAAGAAATTGACGAGTGTTATTAATCACAGTATTCTAATTACGTAGCATTATTGTTTCAGTAACGATGAAATAATTGAAAGATAACTTTAGAAGTTTCACTCAAAGTTTGTACGTCAATTATTTCATTTTTTTTGATGAGACAGGCATGGGAGGTTAGTTATGCTCATTTTACGAAAGTTTAAAATTGGTAACCCCAAGATTTATTGTGAAAGAAATATTACGCATTACTCCACATTTTAACTTTGTTGTATAGTAATTTAATTTTTATATGATTAAAGTTTAGCACATCCCATACTAATTACCAAATTGAGCTAAAAGTTCTTGACTAAATATAAGTAAAGAAAAAATTTTCAAGTTTCCAAACTTGAAATAAAAAGTATTTTTAATAAATTATATAGCTATTTTCCGATAGGCAAATGTAGTATTTAAGTTGCGTGTAGATATGAATATCATTACAAGCCATAAAAATTATATCAATATTTCAAAGCTTTAAAAATTTTTCGAAATGGAATCAATAACCAATTTTAGTAATATTTATTAGTAATAGTGATATTTATCGTTCGTACAATGAACGGTTTAATAAGTAGTTGTCATCATTTAACAAAAGTAATTTTCAATAAGCACTAATTGTTAGCTTATTGATTCGACCAGTCCATTCTTTCACATTTAAACAATATTATTTATATAAAGATTTTATTTTCCAGTTTTAATACAAGATCATTTTTAATTTAAACTAAATGATTATTACCAGCCTTTTTGAATTTTGTATCTTTTTTGTTTAACAAATGTACAAATTTTCGGGAATATACTAAAGCTCTAACTCATTTACAAAAAGATCACTGAAATTTCGGATATTACTTGACATCTATGATTTATTTCTTCGTAAATTAACTTTTATGATAAGCATATTTAGATTCTGCAATTTAATAAGACATTAATAATCACATTTCAAAGATTATTTGAACTTAAGAAAGGAAAAACAAGCAATATATTTCCTAGTATTATATTTTTACCTTTGATTACTTGCAAATGGACATATTTGTGAGCAAAAATTAATACGCAAAAGCAGTAATTATTACAGTAAATGTAAAGAATTACTAACAGTAATATATTACTAATAATGATAATTACTAATGAAATTGTCTAATATAACGTAAAGTAAATCGAGCTATGCGACCATTTGGATGGTAAATAACAAAAATTTGATTCCCTTCTGAAATCGAATCTTCTTTCGGTCGGTAGCAACAGCTGAAAATAAATGAAAGTAAGTGCTTAAGAATAAAACAAAAGTTCGGAAACAAAGTTCAAAGATAATATGGAAATTAAGCAGTAATGATTACTGTTAATTTCTAAATTAAATTTTTAAAACAGACTAATAATTTTTTTGAATAAGGATAAATTGATTAAGGGGTTAATAACTGTTACAAAACAAGTCAGAAATCTATTATTTTTAGAATTAAGTCATTATTGTAGAAACAAAGAAGACTTTTCTGCAGTCAGTAAAACCTGTGATTACTGCAAACTATCAAGAATATAAAGAAAACTTAGTTAAAATTCTTATTATAACTAAATTTGGCCAATAAATTAATCAGAAATTACCTTCGAAAACCAGTCAGCCTAATGTCAAGTTTATGTTTGATTTCTACGTATGACTGACACCCGTATGAGCATGGAAATTCTCCGTCACTTAGACGGAAACGTATTCGATTTCCTTCTGGTACCTAAGATCACGTGAAAGTATCTCTAGCTATAACTTTAATGTAAAAAGTGTTTTATTTGTAACAAAATTAGTTCAATTTCACCAAATCATTTTTTACTTTTTAATTCATTAATTTGCATTCATCTTATTGATTAGAATTTGAAATTTATTTTAATCTTTATTTAAATTTCTAACAAAGTAATAAAAGTATCCCTCAATTTTTTAATACAATACAAATAACTAAGTTTAAAAAAAAAGAATTCATTGAAAATTTAAATGATAAGGATGAGCTTAATTTGACAATTTAACAAGTTAAATTGATTAAAATGTGACTGAATGAACAAATATGTGCAGATAACATAATTGGTGTTTACAAAAATCAAAAATCAATATAAAAGTTCAACAAATATGATTAGTTTCTAATGATTTTTATGATCGTACCGATATCCTCCAGTAGCACTCAATATTTTCTCCATTGGGACTTTTCAGTGTTTGCCACTTATCTGTCGCGCGTAGTTCTGATCCACATGCTAGAAGATGAATTGGTAAAATGCTAATAACTTGAACGATATTTTAGACCAATTTGGATTGGTAAAATAAATCAAGAAATTAAAGGTATTGTCACAGTAAATAAATGTAAATGTTACTTATAATTTATTCAGATTTATTTTCTCGTTTCAAAACTGCAAAAAAAAATTTTTCTCTTAAGTTCCTTCAAGTTTCTATAGTTTCCTTCAAATTTTGTTTTTAAAGCACTCAGTCATTTCTGTAAACTTTAGAAACATTTGCATTGTAATATTTTCACATTAAATAATAATAATAACATTGTTGTTATTATTATTAATACTAATTTATCATAATAATGATATTAATACTATTATTATTAAGCTCATAATACGTCAGCCATATTGTAAAATTATTGTTAATAACCGATAATCATACAAAATTGATAAAGCTGATGAATAACTGATGACAATAAGAACTCTTTAAATATGGTTAGAGTACCCAAATACAAAAATTATATAATAAATTCGTTATTTTTATAAATGCCAAAAGTACTAAATATTTTATGTGATTAATTCTCAGGAATATAATTATTGTAAACATCGATAAATATTATTTTCAAATTTTTGTTCATCACATCCAATCAATTCGAAATCTTCCACAATATATCTCTTAATCTTCAGTTCACTTTCAATAGTAAAATATTTTTAACATATGCAATCATTGTTACTTCCTACTTAGTGAGCAGACCTGTTTTCATCCAAATAAATTTTTATCCACACTATGTACTTCTGATCAGAGTTGAAAACAAGTTTCATTAATGATTTTTCTTTTTCTTTACTTCTAGTAACCAAACCACTGAGCTTTAACCTATCGGGATTGTTGATTACATCAT